GTTTCTGTGTGTCATTTCACTGAATTTTATGTAGTAATTCTGTAAATTCAGTATTTTTTTATTCATATTGTGTGGCCACACACATTTCTGCTTCATTAGCTTAAGTGGTCAAGTGATAATTGCACAAAGATTTCATTAAACATCTAAAACTATGAGATTCTTGGTCTTTCTAGGAACTTATGTGTTGGGGCAGACTACCTCAGAACTAGAGAGAAAAAATGGATAGAGGACAATTTAAAACATCATATTGCATATTATTCTTACCAGGGTTTAATCAATATTCTTGCATAGAAACGTACTGTAAAAATTAAAATTGAAGGGCCTCCCTCGTGGCACAAGGGGTTAAGTCTCAGCACTATAAAGCTGTAAGCAGTCACTGCAGTATGAGTTCGATCCCTGGCCAAATACGAGTTCGATCCCTGGCCAGAAAGGTGACCCACATGGCGTAGCAGACCTCTCCTGATTCGCCTGCTGCTCCCCTCAGCAGTGTATTTCAGTAGCTCTGCCTGTTCTGCTCCCCACTCTGTCTCTGGTGAAGCCTTTAATCCCCGTACCTCTGGCCTATTCCCCAGTTCTTGTATGCATAAATAAATAAAAATCTTAAAAAAAATTAAAATTGAAAATATATATGAGATTCACAACATTATTAAAAGTCAAATTTAAAGAAAACCCATCAGCTTTCTAAAATAGTATTTTCCTAACTGACCCCCTGATTTTGTCAGCCATTTCTTAATTTTAGCTTTATTTGCTCCCTGTGTAGACTAAACATTTTCAAGCAGTTGGCACCTGGTTTCCTTTTTTGTTTGTTTAACAGTTCTTCCTTTGGTGTATCCCTCTCCCTTTCTTCTCATATTTTACTATAATATGCAAAAAAAAAAAAACAAAAACAGAGGGCATCTCATCACTTTATTTAGAAATTTCCTTATATTTATTACCAGCTCCTTAGGTACACTTTCTACTTCCCAAATTACTTGAGACAACGATGTCATAAAATTTCCTGACACTACCTAATAAATATACTTTCATCCACTCTCCAATAACATTTGCCTCATTTCCCTACAAATCTTTACTCTGCCACCTTATCAAAGGCCATAAAACTGCTATTAATAGCTTCTTTGAGGTTCTTTATACTTACGTTAATACTCAAGTCCCTACTACCTGCTGCTAAAGCTACAGCTACATTTTAGTTTTCAAGCAACAGCATCCCACCAATAGGTACCAGAATATTAATTATCTATTAATATTTAATAAATTACACCCAAAATTTAGCATCTGAGGCAACACACATTATTTCATATTTTCCTCTGAGAGTAGCTCAGCTAGATGTTTCTACCACCGTTTTTCACTTGGATCCAGTCAAAGGGGTAAGCTAAAGTTTTAATCATCTGAGATCTGAATGATCTTAAGAATCTTCCAAATTCACTCATATGACTATAGAGGGTTCAGATCCTCTCAGTGTGAACCTCCTCATAGAGTTATTCTGCTTCTTCCAGAATGAGTGATGGGAGAGAGATAAAGGGACATAGCAGTATGTCACCCCACAGGAAGTGGGTAATATAATCTCCAAGTGATGTGCACTTCTGCAATAGGCTGTTGATCACAGATACCACTCCTGATTGACTGTAGAAGGGACTACCCAGCAGCAATAAGCCAGCAAGTGGGAATCATTAAGGGCCATCTTGAAACTGGCTACTGCAAAGATCTTGTTAATTTTTGAATTTTGAATCATACATATTTTGAGTTAAATTGGAAAATGAAGAGATACACAAAAACACATTATTTCTTGGAGGCAATAGACAACAGTTCCATGTGGCAACGTTTCTTCTTCTACTTGTTACTCGCAAACATTTGAGTTTACAGTCAAACAATTTAAAGACCTAAAAACTGGATCTTTAGTTAACTTACTTGCTTTTTTTTGTAGTTATGGCAGTTTTTTGTACAAGTAATTTAGAAGGCTCACTAGCTGATCAACAGCAAGACTATTTTTTAATATTTTGTCAAGTTCCTTTGTGTCTCACAGGTTGATTTATTCGTCATTCATAAAGGGACGAAAACTGAATGGGTGAATAAAGTGGTGTAGCACAGTTTTCTACTTTAAACTTAACTCTAAATTCAACCTTAAAATATAAACCTTGTCACACTTACGAGTTTGATTTTTCTGTTTGTGTGCGTTTTTTTTTTTAATAAATTATTTTGAATTGGTAAAGTGACTTTAGTCCATAAATTATTAGATAACTAACCAAGAAACCTGAAAGTAGATAAATATCTCCCTTTAACACATAATATGAAGCAAGGTTAAGTTAGAAAAGAGTGGAGAAAAATGTACATTGAAGTCCTCAAAGATTTCTGGAGGTAATAATCAAGAAATGGTATAAATTGTGAATTCTTACATGCAACTTGAAAGTTTCTTTTGGTAAATCACTTTAATTAGATTACATGTTCTAATGTTATCTATTTGAACCAAAAAAATATCACACGGACCTAGAAATTATGTCCTTTGCTTTTTTCCCCAGTTAGTATTTTTACTTTTGACATTTTATGATTTCAGTAAAATACAGCAGCTCAGGATGTATGTTTCTCTTATTTCAACAGCTAACATTTACTAAACTTAAAATACCAAGTACAGGAGTTCAGTGTTTTATCTGCAATCTCATATCATCTTAAACTGTCCTGTGAACAAGCTTTATTATGATTTCCGACGTTCTATTCCTATTTCTGTGTCTGTGAAGAGAGAAGCTAAAACTTGGATGGATATGTAATTTGACAAAGTTTGTAACAATGGCTAAAAATTCCAACCTGTAACTAATGCTTTTTTACTCTAATAACTAAAAACAAATAGTACCTATATTTCCTAATCAGTCCTAATTTAAAAAATAAATGTAATGGGTAAGCAGTTACATTGTTTCATAAGCTCACAGCCCCTTTTTGTCAGGTAGTTGTCAGATTTAAAATTCTTTGTTTTCAAAAAAGTAATATAATGGGATGTTTATTATATAACATCTCCAGCAGGCCTTAAACAGTACCCTATGATCACATGTATTTATATTTTTGCAAGACCATAAATAGATTCCTATCAGCTTAGGTCCATTTTGCTACCAAATGTGAGGTGCTCATAGTGAAAGTAGTTTATTGCTTCTCTTCACCACCAGATACTACATTTCCAAACTTTGCATTTTATGGCCTTGATTGTACAGTAGACGCTAGATGGAGGACTTGCCTTCAGAAATCTTAGACAAGTGCTCTAGCTAGTACCAAACCCTCCAAAACTAAGAAGACTTAACCCTGCAATCTTAGACAGCCATGGATCAGGGCAGTCCTACTCACATAACCCCTGATCAGCTTTGGGTGACAGTTGAGGCTTTTAAGGAGCAGAGTACTAGTATCTCTGGAAGTAGATTCTAAGAGGAATTCAGTGTGGAGGCCAACTAAGTTTGCTTAGTCATCAGTCCCAATTTACCAACCCTTTACCTCTAAAAGAGCGAAATAAATAAAAGATTGGAATGAGGCCAGACATGTTCATGAAAAAGTCAACACCACTACCCCTCCTGATGTCAAAATTCTTTGCCACTATTATTTTAAGTAGTCTTTCTTCCACATCTTTTACTATAAGGTAATTCTTTTTTTTTATTAATATCTTATAAGTTTTATTGACTTACATAAATTGAGCCAAACAAAAGTAAGTGAATTTTTTAAAGACTTAAGATAGAGGACTTGAACTAGGTGTAGACTCCAAACAGCTCTGGGAAAGCTGTCCAAATTTTGAGCCTCACAATGAGAATTTTATACAGTCTGCGAGGAAAAGATTTTATATTTTTCAAGGATTTTTACAGAGAAAGTATCCAGGGAGGTGTCCAGTTAATGTATCTATTTGATGTTGTCTATGTATTGAAGAAAACAAGGAGGGTTTTTAAAATTCGCCCTATCTGTTTGTGTTTTATCTTCTGTGAACTGGAATTTTAGCAGTGCCATAAATTTCAGTGTCTTTTTTTGAACATTGCTGATCTGCTCAGAGACATAGTTTGTTGGTGTTGACTCAGCTTTTTTTTGAGGCCAGTCTAGCTGTGCCTTGGTCCTTTATTGTGTGCCCCTTGGTTGAGACCAGGGAGAGGGTTTGTGCTCCTTAAATTGTTGGTTTTAGTTTAAGTTTCAAGCAGAATTGTGTATCACAGCTGACCTTTACTACAGCTATAATTGATTAACATGTTTTGCAGTAGATGATTAAGACCCTCAATAATAGTAGAAGAATCCTAATCCATGCTGAAACATTTAGAAGTGAAATTTCATAATTCTACAATTTACTTTTAGTGGTTCTGCAAGCAAAAATTAGTAGTAAGAATGTAAAATATGGTAGTATGCTACTAACAATTCTTGAGTATTGGTTGAGGGAGGCTGTGTCAGTGTATTTATTCTTTACTTTATGATTGAAATTCCTCAATATAAAGAGCGCAAAGAAAAAAGACCTTGGTGAACATTCACATTATGTATATACATTGACAGAGCTCAAGAATATAGTGGTGATAAATAGTTACAGAGTTTAGATGTTTTCTTAAATAGCTCATCCATGTACTTCTCTGTAAATTGAATTGAAAAAATTGCCTGGTTATTTATATATATATATGTGTATGTATATATATATATATATATATATATATATATATATATATATATATATGCTTATGTTCAAATATTAAGTATTTGAATTAGAACTCTGAAGATAAGGAATTAGTTCTGCTTCTATGTCTAATTCTTTATCTGTACTTTATTTTGCAACTGGAAAATGTTTACTTTTAATAGATGATTAAATATAACAAGTTTTGGGTCCATGTATTGCCATACTACCGGTTAAATGTTCAGGGTTTCTGTTGCTAAGTCCCAGAAGCCACTGACAACTACAGAATGATGCTAAAAGACTTTAGAAGTAATTATTTTGTAATAAGTCTACTTACTGGTAGTTCATATTTCTCTTTTTTTAATGCTTATTATATTTATTTTTTCCATAGATCTTCCTCAGAACTGTGACCCTAACATTCCCCTAGTTGCTCAGGAATTAATGAAAAAGATGATACGTCAGTTTGCAATTGAGTATATTTCAAAAAGTGGTAAAATTCAAGAAAATAGAAATGGTTCAATTGGACCAAGTCTAATTTGTAAAAGTATCCAAATGAATCAAGAAGAAAACTCTCTTCAAGAAGAGCAGGAAGGCCCCTTAGACCTCACTGTGAATCGAATGCAAGAACAAAATACTCAGCAAGGTAAGATTGTTATTGATAATATAACATGCATTTTTATGTTTGATACATATATAGTTATGTTCATACCAAAATTCATTTTAGAAGTAATATTATTTGTAATTAGCATATCTAATATGAACTGTAGAGAAGTGCTGAATTAGTGCTTTTGTACTGGACTTGGCTTTTGTTTATAAAAGAGAAAACTTGATTGAATTGCTACCAATTCATAATAAAGTGTATGATAAGAGAATCTTAATAAGTAACTAGAAAGCTAAGTATTGAGGGCCTCTTATGCGCTTATGCAAGGTAGCCAGTCACTGTTTTTCTCAGAGAGAATTAGTAACTTTTGTTGACACAAATTAGGGATAGTGTTGTCAGAACTTAAAACCAGAAAAATATCAGCATTCTTTGATTGCAGAAAGTAGTGTTGGTTAGGGCTCTAAAGAGTACATTAGTCACTGTTTAATAAAGATAATTTTTTTCAGTATGTGAAACAGATTAAAATTGAGAGGGATTGAAATATGGAAATAACTTTGTTTTGCTTACCTAATTTTAGGGTATGTGTATTTATATAGAAAAATCAGAAATATTAGGGTATTTAGGTTATCAGAAAAAAAATGTCAGAGATTCTGATATGTGCTGATATGACTTAAGGAGAAAAATTATCAGTACATAGAATATTAGAAAGTATAGCTGTAGAATTTTTTGTTTTGCTTTTCTATCTTTCATACCCTCTTTATTTCTTCTGCTGTGAGAAAAAGTTGTTTATCATCCTGAAGGGACTAACACATAGGTTTTGGTACCTGACAGAATTGTTGAAATCCCAGCCCTGTCACCTAAGTTATGTGAACAAATAACTTGACCCATCACAGCTCTAATTTCCTCATTTGTTATTTAGCCATAATAATAGCAAATTCATTGGGGCATGTGAAAGTTAAATATAAAGTAACATAATAATGATCTGTAAGCTTTTGTATATATGGGTGATCCACTAAAGTAGAAGTGAACTTTTCTAAATGGTCCAATGAGGAAATTTAGAATAACTAGTTGGAAATTAGGTGGAAATAGATTTCAGGTAAATATAAGAAAGAATATTTCTAAGATTCATATACTTGTTAAAGTGCAAAGGGGAAATTGATTTCCTTATTTCCTGATTATCTTCTCATTAGAGGTATGCAAAAGTAACAGATGAGTGGTTGGAATAAACGACATTTAAAAAGTAAATTTTAAGATCTTACAGTTCTGTGATTCTATGAAATTAAATGTTAACGCAGACCCAAGTATATGTCGATAACAAGTAACAAATTATTTGTTATTGTGATGTTCTAGGTAGCATGCCCAGTATATATGTGTGCATCCGGAGGTTGAAAAGAGTAATGATACTGTATATAAATCTATACACTGTATAATTTTAGTATTTTAATTTGGGGGATCACTCGTCATATGTGATTTCAGCATTTTTCTAGTAGAGGAATCATTTAACCTAGTGTAACTTTGGTATAGAAAACAAGAAAGAAAATGGTAACAGATGAGGCTAAAGAGATGCGTAGGGACAATAATGTGAAAAAGACGCATAGAAGGTATTAAGGATTTTGAATTTTCTTGGAGCCACAAAATGATGCTAGATTTCTTTAAGCAGAGAGTAATAAATCACATTTTCTTTTATATGACCATTTTGCTATAGTATAAACTGACAAACTTTAACACTGACTATTTGCATACCAAATTAAAACTAGAAATCAAACCCTCTGATGCATTTATGTGCCCCTTCAACCACACTGTGAATTTAATACACACTAACACTTTACACACATTAGTGTAACACTTTTTGTACTTATTTTTCCACAACTTAAGAATGATTTAAGGTTGAAGTAAAGATAAGAACAATTTTAAAATATTTTGCTAATCATGATTAAGACATCCACTAGTGTCTTATTTCACAATATACATTGGGATTGTTTCATTAGTGATAGGAGATATAAGTTCATATTTCATGTGATTTCATGTGATTTTCTTAAGAATTAAAAAGTTTTTGAACTGATTTCACTGTGCTTATACTAGTAGTAGCAATATCAGTTCTTCCTTTGTTATTTGTTAATGCTTACATGTTCCATATCATACTTTATAATTTCTAAACAGTACTTCCAGTTGTTTGTATTTATTAAGATTAGAAAATATAACCTATAAATCTGTAATAATAAACAATGCAGGCAACTTTATGGATAGTCTACTCTGTATATCTACAAAATTTTCAATCCCAAATGGTTTTATAGGTAAATTAAAGTGATAGATAAACCCCATCTTTTAGTATTTTGAAGACTAGTGAAAGTAAACTTGAAATACAGTCTTGATACCAAAAACAAAGATAGCAAAAGAAAGGAAAATTGCAAACCATTTTTTTTTTTTTTTTAAGATTTATTTATTTATTTATACATACAAGCACTGGGTATAGTCAGAAGCGCGGGAGGGTGAGAGAATTCACCAGAGCCAGAGCAGGGAGCAGAGCAGGCAGAAGGACCGAAGTACACTGCTGAGGGGAGCAGCAGGTGGCAGGAGAGTTCTGCGAGCCATGTGGGACCCTCACCCGGTGGCCAGGGAGCAGCCGGGGATCAAACCAACGCTGCAGAGTCTGCGGGCAGCTTTGCAGGAGGCCCTGCAGACCATTCTTACTTACAAAAGTAGGTGCAATAATCCTAAATAAATATTAGCAAATTGAATGTATTAATTATAAAACATAATATATGTATGGTGGCTAAGAAGGCTGAGGTGATTCCACATTTGAAAAACCTTTATGATTCTCCACTTCATCAAAATAAAGACAAATCATGTCATACTAGTAAATACAAAAAAAATTCAACAAAAGCCAACACATTTAGGATAAAAAATGCTTATCAAACCAAAAATAGATGAGCATTCCTACTACGAGAAAAGTCACAACCTAATGATTTTATGACATATAAATGATTTTAGACATATAAATGAAAATAAACAACATTAAGCAATAGGTATAAGGAAAGAATGAGCAGATTTGTTGCTTACAAACAATATGAAAAAATATCTATGTAACCTTTTCAAGCTGATAAAGTTCAAAAAAGGTACTACTTACAAGAGCACTGCGGTATTAATTAAAAAAAAAAAACAGTTAGAAAATCCATTTTTAAAATTATCTCATCTACAATAGCAACAAAAGCAAGAAAAAAACATTAAAACACCTTGAAATAAAATTATGTTGGAAGAACATTATAAAACTTTATTGAAGGACATAAAAGAAGACTCTCAAATGAGTATTCTAAACAAATGGAAGATTCTAAAAGATGGCAGTTCATCCTTAATGTTGCTTACAGATTTAGTGTCAGTTATTCAAAATTTTGTTTTTTTGTGAAAAAAAGATCTGCCAATCCTAAAATTTATGAATAATACTTAGAGTGAAGAATAACCAAATCAAGGTGATAAGGACTTGCTCTAAAATATCAAGATTTAATTAGTACAGTAATTAAAGCACTTTTTGCCATATGCAATAGAACAGATTTGTGAACATAGACATTCTCCAAACTTGAGTGGAATCTTGGTACAAGACAGAGATGTCATTATGAAACATTGAGAAGGATGCCATAGTCCATAAATGACTCAGGTGCAAGGCTACCCTCATGAAGGGAAAAACATTACTCATTTCAGTAATTCTCATTGGGTTAAAGGGCTAACTGTAAAAAACAAAACTTAACGAGAAGATAAAGGATTATATGAACTCAAAAGAAGGAAGAATTTCTTTGGACACATGAATTTCTTTGAACAGGTCATATGATAATTTCATAAAGATGTACTGAAATGTAAAACTTAAGTATTATAAAAATCACTGTTAGCAGAGTGAAAATTCAAACCTCAATTTTGGGAACAGTATCTGTAACTGATGTAACTGGCAGCTGATCAACTAGCAAAACACACTATAACCAATGAGAAAATTAGTACTCCATAGAAAAATAGACAAAAACAGTTCTCAGAGGATAAAAGAATAAGCAAAGAAAAGGATACACAAAAGAATATCCTGCTCAGGCTCCATCCCAGTGTGTAGGGTTCCTTTATTCTATAGTTTAAGAGATGTAATTCAGCCTTTGATTGACAGTTAGTACTTGCAGAAAATCTGTTAGACAGCTCTGATGGATTAAGCGCATAGCTTTTAAATATGCAACTTTCATTTTCTGTTTTTTTCCATTTAAAACAATATTTTACTTAATAGTACTATAAACATAGAAATTATTGTATCTCCAAAACATTTCTTTTCCATGCTAACCTTCAGGGTTTTTTCCATATCTAGAACAGTATCAGAAATTCTCCTTTCACTTACTGATGCTTTATATTTGTTGAAACTAGTATTATCTCTAGTAACAAACTATAAAGTGATCCCTGCAAGTATGGTCTTCTATCTCTCTCTAAACCTCTGTTTTCCCTGCAAATCTTTTCAAGTTCTTTGTTCTTCATAAGTAGGATTCCATAATCCTCATTTTCCTTGCCTTCTCTTCCACAAATTCTTCTGACTTATAGTTACCAGGAGGCAAACATATCTGTTCACCTCTCCAGTGTACTTTCTAACCAACTGTTCAAATATTGTAAGTATTTCTTTGTTCACTTTCAGTTTTACAGATTTGTACAAATACTCTGAACCTCAGAAACTGGGAGGAAGTAAGTCAAGCATTACTTGAATCTATGATTCTTTTTTGTCTTGGCATACTAAGAAACACAAATAGTATTATCATATCATATTTTTTTATTTCTTTTTTATTCTGGGGCAAAAGTGAAAACTTCTCCTATATCCCCAAGTGTGGAAAGAAATTTGCTGCTCCTTTATCAACCGTAAAGGATTTACCAGTCTATACAAAACAAGAGCAGATGTGCAATGAGGAAACAGGACTTCCTTGACCTTGTTGGTGTGGTTTTATTACCATGAGATCTAGTCTATATTCCTGTAAAACTGTCATTATAGTACATTGCTCACTGCATTATAATTGTTTGTATATTTGTCTCCC